ACCCACGTCACCTAGTGCTGCCTGCAGTCAAAGACGTGACTACTGAGCTATTCGGGCTCTCAGTTTGACCTCCTGTAAGAGTGTATTGGATACTTTTGATTGGACACTATTTTTTTTGATTACAGCTTGATTCCACACCGTATTTTTGGGACAGGTATAGAATTTTCAGCATGTGATATCGGTAACCCAAATGTTACAGGCCAACCATAGATATCAGGTGTGTGCCGGCAGGGGATCGAACTCCGGACCATGTGCATGGTGGGCGAGAGTCCTAACCACTGTGCCATCGACGCACTAGTGTAATGTGTCTAGTCCTTTGTTTCGTGCAGACTGAAGTCTATCAGTCACGTTGGCAATGACACTCTGCAGAGAATATTCATGAGAAGAAAAATAATTCACATCTGAGTATTCATGAGAACAAAACTAATTGCTCACTAAAGCTGGTTGGATTCAACATAGAACTTGGCACCGAAGTGCAGCAGTTCGAGTTCCCACGTTCCAAATAGCACACAAAGTTAGACAAGAAGATGAGTGAAGAGAATCAATAGAGTTTCAACAAGTATAAGAGTGAAACAGAATGAGTAATGGTAGAAAGGAATATGAAAGATTACAGAGACTGAATACATCTACGCCATTGACAACGATTTTGAGCCATGTCACCTATTGTCTCCAGCCATTGATTCTTAGAGTGAGTCCCGAAGGCGGGCCCCAACCCGGAAGTCTGCATCTCCCTCCCTACCTGACTCAGTTTAACTGTCAAGGATTTCATGGATTGATGAGGCCATGTTTTTGTTTGGCCACCACTTACTCTTCTCCAACCTGCACCTATATCAGCTAGTAATGCCCGTCGGGAGAGGCGATGGTTAGGCATGCGCAGCACGGGACCTAGCTAACTCAATCTATGTGTCTTTATAGCCTCTTCGATTGATTTTTCCCTCCTTGCCCAACACTCTACGCCTAACGTCAACATTACCCGCTAAAGTCTCTTTTCGGCGAATTCATTTTCTTTAGAAGAGTTTATTTGCAGGGATTTAGTTTATTTCAAGTTCTGATCACGAATTGATATCAGTTAGAGAACCACTGAAAACCAGAGAGTAATGGTGTACTGTAGAGCTATTCCTATCGTCCTAGTGTGGGACTCTTTGGCAGTACAGAACCACCGGGTTAGGAATTCAGGACCTTCCGGTTACAAGGTGATCTTGTAGACCATTCAACTACTGCAACCCGATCCAATGGCCCATGAATTCCAACATATGCCAAAGAGTACCAAACTAGGATAAAAACAGGATTTTCATCATGAGCTGACATTAGTTAGAGAACCATTGGAAAACCTGGGAGTACTGGACAGCTGTTTTGTCCCAGCTTGAGACTCTTAAGCAGTACGCGCCCACCGGGATTTGAACCCAGGACCTTCTGGTTACAAGGCGAGCTCGTATACCATTAAGCCACTGGGACCCGATCCAATGGCCCATGAATTGGCAGAAGTTAGAATTCATGGGCCATTGGATCGGGTCCCAGTGGCTTAATGGTATACGAGCTCGCCTTGTAACCAGAAGGTCCTGGGTTCAAATCCCGGTGGGCGCGTACTGCTTAAGAGTCTCAAGCTGGGACAAAACAGCTGTCCAGTACTCCCAGGTTTTCCAATGGTTCTCTAACTAATGTCAGCTCATGATGAAAATCCTGTAGCCAATCAAATCCGTACAAATCAACACTTGAATAGGATAAAAACAGCTGTCCAGTATTCCCTGCATGTTTTCTAATGGTTCTCTAACCGATATCAGCTCATGATGAAATCCTGAAACCAATCAAATCCCTGCAAACCAAAACTCGAATATCCATCTGATACTCACTAGCGACTGGTACTATTCAGGTAAATAGTTACTTCAGTTTCCAGTGAGAAGTTGTGTGACCAGTGAGGTACAGCAGGTAGGGTGTGAGAACAAGTATCCGCCAGCAATGACAATGGCTAGTGGGTGTGCTATATCATGAATTGGCAGAAATTGGAATTTACGGGGTGGCCAGTGGATCGGGTTTCAGGTGACTGAACGGTCTTTGAGCTCACCTCATGACCGGGAGGTCCCGGGTTCCAATCTCTGGGGGTGCACACCAACAGAGAGTCCCAAACTAGGACGATAGGATCAACTGGATGTCCAGTACGCCCTGGTGGGTTTTCCAAAGGTTCTCTTACTGATATCAGCACATGATGAAATCTTGAAATTTCATGTTTCCTAAAAGCTCACGAGGATATATGAGTCAGAAAGGGTCAGAGAAATAAAATAAGCAAATCAGTTAGGGGTGTGAAATAAAAGGGCCGTTACCAGGAAAATAGAAGTGGGTGGAAGATTTTCTTTTGTATGGATAGTTCTGGTTCTTCCAACTGAATCGCTAGGGCTTCTGCAATGCAAACAACCCGGAAACGTATTGTCTTTGGCAGGTTGTTCTTCAATTTGTCTATTACTTTGAAGGAGGCGTTTGTTGAGATAGAATGACCAGTGGTGACGAGATACTCGATTATTGCACTCCTTATGTGGTGGTGTGATACAGACAATGTGTTGCAACGGAATATGATTTTCACATACTCCCACAGTTCAATACGGCATTTGCAACAGAATATGATATACCTATTTGAACATTCTATTTGATGTCGTTTAATGTAAGCCAAAATCACACGCTCAGTGATTGGTTAGAAAATATAAACTGCATATATATATATATACCTTGGCTTCCGTGTCTTGCCTTCTGCTGTTACACTTATACGGCCACTACTTCCTTTCTGCAGCCACGCTGGATAGTTTTCTTTGACCTTTTTTGACAGGTTGCATGTAGAACGACCGATGTACCTGACTCCACAGCAACAGGTGAACTGATATATACACATGGAAGTGGTCAGTTGCGAGATCTTGTCCTTTGCGCTTCTACGGATCAGTGGGCACCGAAGAAAGTTCTTCTTAAAGGAAATAACTGAGTAGGTCACCTCTGAAGTCGAGGTTCAAATAAAGTAACTTTTTTGGCACGGATGGCATCCCTTACTTTTGGATTTCTGGTTGATGTTTTTGTCTACGAATATTGATGGATAACCGTTTTGTATGAAGATTTCTTTCGGGAAGTGTAGTTCTTCTTCCAGGGTATCAGAGCTTTAGATGCGTCGGATGAGAGTAGCAAGAAATCTAATTAGGTTTCTTTTTTGACTGATTAGTACCTAGCTGTAGAAGCTTGTCACTTGGCCGTTCCATGTGGGTTTCCTATGGATGGACCTCCTTAAAGTTCCGTCAGCTATTCTTGTAAGTTCAACATCAAGAAAAGGAATTTTGGATCTGTTTTCTATTTCAAGAGTAAACTTTGTAGCTGGATGGCAGTTGTTGAATATTTATAGTAATTGATTAAGATCGTGACCATCATCACAGATAATAAAGATTTCGTCCACATATCAGCATACAAACTACAGCCGGAACTGACGAGGATATCAAAGCAAGAATCGGAAAAGCAAGACAAGCTTTCACTACTCTCAAGTCTGTGTGGAGGTCAACAGCACTCAGCATCAAAAATAAGATCTGGATTTTCAACTCCAATGTGAAGTCAGTCAGTGCTACTATACGGATCAGAGACTTGCACTGCGCGTCATAAAAGCATCTCAAACAAACTACAGACCTTCATTAACAGTTGTCTTTGCTCAATACCACTCAAGATCAGATGGCCGACCAGAAAAGATCAGCAACAGGGATCTCTGGCAATGAGCGAACCAACCAGGAACCGATTGTGAAACAAATAGGCAGGAAGAAATGGAGATGGATTAGATGGCCATACTCTGAGAAACCATCAAGTGACATCACTAGACAAGCCATTGCTCGAGTGGAACCCGAAAGGGAAGCGGCGGCGAGTTGGTCGTAAGTGCAAGGGTGACTTGGAGGAGGTCATGTGAAGAGGAGATGAAAACGTGTGGGCAGACTTGGAGCCAGGTGAAGACTCTAGCAGAGAACCGAACGCAATGGAGACGCACGGCTGAAGCCCTATGTTCCTCTAGGAATTAAAGGAAACAATAATAATAATAATTAGCATACAACTGGAAATTATCAATAGTTGATTTGAGTGAGTCATTCTTGAGGTTTTCCATGAAACAGTCTGCTAGCTGTTTTACTCACTTTACTTCTCTAATCCTTTCCGACTCATGTATCCTCCTGAACTCTTAATTAATATAAAATTTCATTTGTTTCTGTTTGCTTCCTGATTGCAACTCACTTATTAAATTATTTATCTTATTACGTAATTCTATCAGCCTTATTCAACTACTTCTCACATATACTGACGAATAGTAGCAATTTATTCTTGTGATGATTCATCCCTTTCTTACTATCCACTTTCATTACAGAAAAAAATTGTACATAAATGCGACTGTACAGCTAAAGAAAATGAATTATTACGTGTTGGTTTTCAGGAATTTGATTGGTCACAGGATTGAGATCACGAGCTGATATCAGTTAGAGAAGCACTGGAGAAACCACCTGGGAGTACTGGACAGCTGTCCTTATCGTCCTAGTTTGGGACTCCTCAACAGTATGCATCTACCGGAGTTCGAACCCACGGCCCTCCTGTTACGAGGCGATCTAGCAGACCATTCAACTCCTGGGACTCGACCGCAGTGGTTCATGAATTCTAAACTCCGGCCAATTCGTGATATGTATTTAGCGCAACCGCCTGCCAGTGTCACAGGCGAGTACCTTTCTTCTTGCCTGACTTGATGGCCCCCGTTGATCACACAACTCGCTGGAAACCCAAATAACGACCTACCTGAATAAGGCCAGTAGCTAGTGAGCCTCAAATTGATTATCATGTGTTGGTTTTCAGCGAATTGTTTGGTTACAGGATTGAGATCACGAACTGAAAATGGATTCGTCGAAAAGAGACTCTTCACTGAACGACTTGTCTTGATTTCATCATCATCATCATCATCAACAAGAACAACAACAACAACAACAAAAAGTAGTTCCTGAAAATATACTTACAGGAGGCGGACGAGGCGGATTTGAGACCACTTTATATCGCTTATCATTTGAAAAATAATGTCCCATATACCTGACGAATTGAATCAGAAGTAGCAGACAGAGGAAAAGTAGCAGAGCTGATCGAATTAAACGCCATGGTATCATTTGATGAAATTCACTAAGAAAGAACAAAAATATAGAAAAGTAAAACAAGGATAAGATTTTCAACTAAATATTCATTAGTGAAACTGAGTCTATGAATATACGACAATAAACCACATCTATTTTCATAACATACAAAAGTTAGGAAACTTCACAGTAATCGGAGTCTTCTTGTTAAAGAATATTCTATGTATATCTACCAGTTTTTGACAGTAGCTGCACAGCCAGTTACATTGGGCGTACAGTTAAGCAGTTTCATCATCGTATTTCCTAACATCATCCTGCATAATGGTTAAGCAAGGAACAAATAAGACCTATTCGTAGGTGTCTGTTTCAGCACACCTTGTAGATAGATAGTGAGCATAAAGTTGATGTTAATACAGCATTTAAAGTTATTTTTGCATTTTTATGAAGCTTTCTACTGTATCAACCCTGAAAATACAAGACGATATTGTCGGATAGCTAAATTCACTCAATAGCCTCCATTTATAGGAGGGTGTTTCACGCTTCACGTGGTCCATGGTTCGATCCCCAACCGACATACTCCTAAACCCTTCGCTTAGTCGACAGTATGCCCGGTTGGGTATGAGGCTAGCCAACCCACCTCGTAAAAACTGAACACCACTACTAGTAAAACTTGAAAGCTCAAGCTTGTAGCCCTATGCTCCACTACGGACACAAAGAAATAAAAACATTCCTCTATTTATTGTCATTAGTTTGTTTGTAGGGAATTGATTTATTTCAAATTTTGATCACGGATTGATATCAGTAGGAGAATTATTGAAAAATTACAGGGAGTACTGGAGGTCGTCAAAATAACCAACCAACAACAAAAACAGCAGCAGCAACATCTAGCGCCAATCCCTATCAACGGGAGGGATTTAAATGAGGTTACTTCATTCACTTATCTAGGGAGCATTGTCTCAACTACAGGAGGAACGGACGAGGATGTCAAATCGAGGATCGGGAAGGTGAGAAACACATTCATCAACCTGAAACCAATCTGGAAATCTTCGTCACTCAGCACCAACAACAAAATTCGGATTTTCAATACAAACGTCAAGTCAGTCAGTTCTTCTATACGGATCAGAAACTTGGCCAGTGGGTGACAAAGAATATTTCCAACAGCCTGTTGCAGACCTTTATCGACAGCTGTCTTCGCTCTATACTGAAGATCAGATAGATGGCCGGAAAGAACAAGAACCAACAAGAAGCTATGGGAACAAACAAAACAGGAACCAATCGCCAAGCAACAAATATGCAGGAGAAAGTGGAGATGGATTGGACACTCGTTGAGGAGGCCGCTGGGTGATATCGCGCGTCAGGCCAATGCTCGAGTGGAAACCGAAAGGGAAGAGGTGTGTGGGACTTCCAAGGGTGACATGGAGGAGATCGTGTGAAGAGGAACTGAAACAGTATGGATTAACATGGATGCAGGTGAAAAGTACAGCAGAAGACAGAAGCAAGTGGAGACGTGCAGTTGAAGCCCTATGTTCCACTAGGAACCCAAGGGAACAATAATAATAATAATACTGGACAGCCAGCTGTTTCGTCCTTGTTTGAGACTCATCGGTAGTACGCATCCACTGGGGTTCGAATCCAGGACCTTTCGGTTACAAGGCAAGCCCGTAGACGATTCAGCCACTACGAACCGACTCAGTGATACTTACCCTAACCAATCAGTCCGTGATCAAAACTTGAAACAAATCGAATCCCTACAAACAAACTCTTGAAAATAAGTGGGATAGTCGTGAGTGACTGGCGGCTACAGAACGACGTTATCTGAAGTTCTAGTAAGAAGTCGTGACCAGTAAGATCAACTTGGTCAAAAGTGAGGACAAATACTCGCCGATGACATCGGGTTGTAGTTGCGTTAAAATCACAAATTGGTAGAATTTGAGATTTTTCGGAAAAAGAGTCGGGTCGGGTTCCAGTGGTCTAATGGTCTACGAGCTCATCTTGTAACCGGGAGCTCCTGGATTCGAAACCCTAACGGTGCATACTGCCAATGAGTCCCAAACTAGGACGATACGTTTCGTCTCCCCCATACTTCATCAGCCATACACACCTAGTACAACTCCAACATCCATTTCAGGCAATCAGCCTAATACATGAATATTTACGATTCTAGTTGATTTATTGAACCTGATTAAGTGAAAGCTAATTGAAAACTAAGACTCTTTGCTTAGAATTTGCATATTCACTAATTCAGTTGGCCTCTTACATCAGGTTTTCACTGCATTCTATAGGAATATAAAGTGATCAAACAGACAAAATGCTGTGCTTTTGTGATACCGTGGTAAAATACTCTTCAACCACATATATGTGATCCGGCGTTCGATTCCCGGCTAATACATTCCTAAACGGATACAGAAGGCTCTTTTGCCATTCGCCAATATACGCCATCTCTGGCATAGACGTGATATCAGGCTGATGATCGACCAAAGGATGTGTGTACTACCCAGCAGTTCGCTCCATCCTCCTTTATGGATGGTTGTGAGACGTGACCATTGAGAGTGGAAGACATGAAAAGGTTAGCTAGCTGTCTTTGATCATAGGTGTCTGCGTCCTACGTCCCATGTTAGCTGGTTGTATAATAGGGTGAGTAATATTGAGGTGAGGTATCGGTAGAGTGCTAGGTGGTGTGGAGGGAAAACCAGTTGATGAGTTCGTGAAGTTACATCGATTGAAATGGTTAGGACATGTATTACGCATGATTTATGCCTAGCCATCACCTTCCTCGACGGGCAATGTTAGCCACTGATATAGGATGGATCAGCTTGGAAAAGAGTGAGCTAGTGGTGGTCAAACCAAAACATGTCTTCATCAGTCAGTGGAATCCATAACAGTCAGTTTGATCCATCCAGCCACATAGGGAGGTGAAGACTTCCTAACTGACTGATTGGGGTCCTCGGGATGGTAAGAACCAATGGATGCTGGAGATAATTGGTGGCATATCTCAATGAATAACGTGGATTCATTCACTCTTTGTCATTTGTCATATCCAAAAAAACTGTATTCTTTTTCCTTCACTCATACTTCTGTTTATTACCTCCCTCTTTCGAGTCTCTCTTTACTCTGTTCTCTTGCTTTGTGTGCTATATGGTAGGAGAGTGACAACTGGAACTGGTGCACATCTGTACAGAGTTCCATGTTGAAAATAGTCAGTTAATCAGTCCTAAACCTAACTTTAGACGTTAGCAAGCGCGGAAAAGGGGGAAAGTTGGGCGTGAGGCTGACCAGAACCCTCACCGTGTAAAAAAAAGTATTTGACTTTCTGTTTGGTATTCTTTTGACGAATCACTTTCGTACAAACCAATCAGCGAAACGTTAGTTGCTTTTCACGACTACCGTTGTATTTCCTCTTTATTAGGAGTGTTTTGTCCATATGTACAATAACACCTCCTCCCAACAGAGAAGTAACTGTCTGGATCTTCCAAGATGTAATATCTCTTCAGTGGGATGGTATCAGTGAACTTTGGAAACAAGACTATTTTCCGTTTCAATAGCTGTAACTCTCATAGACTGTTTTAAACCCGGTAATTACAAATATACAAAATCTGGGTTAGTAACTAGTGGGATCTAGCAAAAAATGTTCTTCGTCTTAAACAAATTTCTCAACGGTGAACACGTCCATCAGCCGATCTACTGAAGCTTTTTATACTGATACCAAATTTCAAACGTCATTTACGTTAGAGCAGGCATTCCAATTGAATCAAGTGGAATGAAAGTTTGGACTGAGGTGAAGAAACTTATTGGTCCACTCAAGGTTATTAATGTGGACGCAGCACTTCGTTGGTAGTTACTGGTGCTGAAAGTATAACTTGACCCCAGAGACTTATTACCACTACAAAGCAGTCACTGAAAGACATGTATATACAGATAAAACTTCTCAGCGAATTAAACAGAATAACAAACAAACCAGAATAAACTGTTACTCAGGTAGCAGCAGTTGTCACACTCTCTATGTAATCAGTATGAGCTAGTAAATTAAATAAAAAGTTCTCATGACTTAGCTAATTTAGAATTTTATATAGATAAAGATTGCAACTTTACGCATCATCATCGAACAGAGCGTAGAATGGCAGTTAAATATCTACCTCAACTTCATCGACTCTGAAAAGACCTTCGACAGTGGTGACTGCGAAGTACTTTGGAAATTACTTCAACACTATGGAGTGCCCTAAATTTTTATCGACCTCATTCAACAGCTATATGACAATCGCACATGTCAGGTGATCCACAACAGAAAACTTAGGGATGCCTTCAAAGTGAAGACAGGAGTAAGACGAAGCTGTCTACTACCGCCGATGATATCCCCGATTGTAGTGCGCTGAATAATGCTGAAGACTGTTGGCAGTGAGAAGACAGGGAATACACTGGACCACTGATAAAAAGACTTTAGATGATCTGGATTTTGTGGGTGGTTTATGTCTCATGTAACACAAACTCGAAGACTTACGGGCGAAAACTAACAAGTTAGTAGTAGAAGCAAGCGGTGAAGACATGACTTCAAGTGAACATAGAGAAGGGGGAAGTGATGAAGATAGTTAACCAACAACAACCAGCATCCATTACCATCAATGGGAGAAATTTGAAAGTGGTCACTTCCTTCACTTATCTGTCTAGGAAGCATCGTTTCAACTATAGACGACAACATGGATAAAGTGTCAACGCAAGCCAGAAACGGAAAGGTAAGGCAAATCTTCATGAACCTAAAATCAGTTTGTAAATCTTATGCACTCAACACAAAGAACAAAATTCAGATTTTCAACACAAATTTTAAGTCAGTCAGTTCTTCTATATGGGTCAGGAACTTTCAATGCGCGTCAAGGAAACCATTTACAACAGGCCACCGCAGACTTGGATCAACAGCTACCTTCGCTCTGTATTGAAGATCAGGTGTCCAGAAAGAATTAGCAACAAGAAACTGTGGGAACAAACTAACCAAGAAACTATCACTCAATAAATATGTAGGAGAAAATGGAGCTGGATCGGGCACAAGGTGAGGAGATCA